TGTAATGTTGGTGATGATGACAATGACGATTGCATAATATTAATGTGTTTGGTTTGTTAGTCATGGTGTATTATTCAATTATTATTTGCTCTCTCTCTCTCTCTCTCTCTCTCTCTCTCTTTCTCTCTTTATTTCTCTCTCTCTCTCTCTCTCAATTCTACTTATTTTCAGGCAGTTTTTTATTTTATTATTTATTAGTATTATGATTACTATTACTATTACTACTACTGCTACAACTACTGCTACTACTACTACTACTACTACTACTGCTTCTACTACTGCTGCCACTACTACTAATAATAATCCGCATCGGTGATGATAATTCTTATCAAACATGCCTATTTCTGTTTACACTTGGTCTTTGTGTACTGTTTTTATTTTTATGACCTATTTTTAGAAAGGATGTTTTTATGTATGTATGTATGCATGCATGCATGCATGTATGTATGTATATATATATGTATGTTTGTATGTACAATATATATACTTTCAAATAAATATATAGGCCTTTTTCTGAATGTCGATACTACATATATGCCACACACGGGCTCTTAAAACTTGTTTGTATGTTTGTTTGTTTGTTTGTTTGTTTGTATGTATGTATATATGTATGTATGTATGTATGAATGTTTGTATTTATATATATACATATGTATGTACGAATATATGTAAATTTTTTGTACAATTGGTAGGTGTGTTTGTTAATGTATTTTGTTAGTATGTCTGTGTGTTTGCATAAATGTCTGTTTGTATGTATGTATGTGTGGGTATATATATATTGTGTGTACCATTGTATGTTTTTGTTTGAGCTGCAATAGCTGTTGCAGCTGTACTGCTGATCTGACAGCTGATGAGATTGCTTCAACAGCTGACCTGAATAACCACGACCTCATCGTCGTCATCATCATCATCATCATACTGTCTTCTTTACCATCATCATCATCGTTATATATATATATATATATATATATATATATATATATATAGGCCTAGAATCTGTTTGGAATGAATAATTGGATATTTGTTTTCTTCTTTCTACTATTTCCCAAGAACAAAACAATCACAATCACGCACGCACAATTTTTCACATACAAACATACACATTCATATGTATATACATTCACATACATACAAACATACATACATACATACATGCATACATACATACATACATACATACATACATACATACATACATACATACATACATACATACATACATACATACATACATACATACATGCATGCATGTATGCATGCATACATACATACATACAAACATACATAAATACACACATACATACATACATACATACATACATACATACATACATACATACATACATACATACATACATGCATGCATGTATGCATGCATACATACATACATACATACATACATAAATACACACATACATACATACATACATACAAACAAACAAACCAGCATACATACATACATACATACATATAAACATACATACATAAATACAAACATACATACAAACAAACATACATACATACGTGCATGCATCTTCTATAGGCCTACTAAATTTTTAAAAAATGTAAAACCACCATTACACCCTCCGTTCTATTTTTTTTCTGCTTGTTCATTATTATTCTTGATTTTTTAATTTTTTCTTATAAATTTTTTTCTCACAAATGGAGGTAAATTCGTTTCATCACCATGATGACTGCGTCTTAAGCCTTGAAGACGATGAAGAGGACGAAAATGTTGATAGCAATAGTTTTTACTGTCATTATCTTCATTACTTTTATCATAGTTGTTAATCTTATTGCTGCTTCTGCTGTTATTGTTTGCTGTTGTTGTTGCTGCTGCTTCTGTTGTTGTTGTTGTTGTCATCCAAAATGTTATCATCAGCAAGTACTTGAGAATTTTATGACCCATAGCTAGCGAAGAGTATGAAAATGTGAATAAGATTATGTAGAAATGTAAGGGCTCTAAAACGACCCTCCCAAAAAATCTCTTTCTCTGTCTCTCTGACTTTCTCTGTCTCTCTCTCTCTCTCTCTCTCTCTCTCACTTTCTGGATGGGATGGGATTGATTTTATGAGACTAGTTTTATTAAAACCCAGCCACTGCTAAGTTAAGTTTGATGAAAAAATGGCACTCTCAACCATTAAGCCATCAATCATCTCGTTGTCTGGACTGCTAGTGTATGTAACGATTACTAATCATCAATCGCCGTACTTTACACGTAATATAGTGTAATTTGGATGCAATATAGTGTAATTTGGATGTAATATAGTGTAATTTGGATGTAATATAGTGTAATTTGGATGTAACGTAGAGTAATTTGAATGTAACATAGTGTCATCTACTGAATGTTCCTTAATGTTAACTTCCCCCCAAATCTCTTCCCACCCAGAGTTCGAGTAGTAGTATCGCCACGCCGGCCCACACATCATCATCATCATCATCATCATCGACGACGACGACGACGAAGCTGTCGTCATCATTCCATCATCAATTTTCTTAC